GAGCCGCAGTGCGCGCGCACGGGGCCGCGGCCCGGCCAGGCGCACCCAGTGCCCGGAGCGCCGTGATGAGCACCGGCTGCCCGGTTCTAGCCACACGGCCGATCCCTGGCTGTGGTGAGGTGTGGACATATTTGTCCGCCGGTGACCGTGCGTCTCGTGGGGTGCCTGTCACCGTCTCACGAGCTGCTGTGCGCAGACTTCCTCTGCAGGCTCTATCTGCCGCGTTAGCCGGGTTAGCCCGCAACCGTGCTGCCGGAACCACCCAAGTTGCAGCTCCAGGAAACCGGTTCCTCGTTGTTAAACGGTGGCCTCCTCCGGTATCCGCTAGTACCCCGACGGCAGGCTTAAGACTGTCACAGTAAGCTGAATATTCTGACATTTGACTTTTGCACTTGACAGGACAAAAGCCTGCATTAAAAATTAGGATCTTCTTCCCTAGGTAACTCTGACACACACACACAGACACACACACACACACACACACACACACTCAGTATGAACAGTACGAGAGCACTTGGCTGCTATCGGATTTAACATTTAGGGCATGGGTGACAACAGGGCTCTATGGTGGAGGGAAAATAGTCTAGGAACATCGTAGACAACTCTGTATGTGTACTGGGGACTGAACCTAGGACCGTGGGCCTGCCAAGCGAGCACTCTACACTGCTATATGCAGGGCTGTTTCCAGCAAAAAACTAAGGTCTAACTTAAGCCCCTAAATCGTAATTACAACCAGTGGGTCTGTCTTACAGGCAGGGCTGGAGAGATCGCTTAGCGGTTAAAGGATCTCTTATTTTGAAGCACACGGGTTTAGTTGTCCCCAGCACCCACGTGACCACCCTAAACCATTTGCAACTTCAGTTCCAGGGTATCCTTCTAGCTCTGGTGAGTACCAGGCACACAGACAAAACACTCATGCACGTAAGATAAAATAAAGGGTTTGGGTTTGTGTGTGTGTGTGTCGTGTCCCCCATCCCAGAGTCTCACTAAGCAGCTGTCTAAGCTGGACCTGGCTGACCTCAAACGTAAAGATGCAGCCTGCCTCTGTCTCCTGAGTGCCTATTACTCACTCTAATGAGGCACGTAAGGCCACAGACTGATAAATCCTGCAGCGATCTGATTATTCCAAGAATTAAAGCTATTTTTGACTTTTCAAAAGTACTGTATTACCCCCCTTTTTGAATTGAATGCAATACTTTTATTCATACAAACATATTGTCCATATTCATCCATCTTTAAAACGTGTCATACTAACCAACTCCATCAATTAATTCTTGTGTGTTTTCATTGTTAAGAATATAGCCAAAGATGGTTGAAACCCTGTCTCAAAATAGCAAACAATATTCAGTTAAAGACTGGTGTGGTGGCTGGTGCACACCTTTAGTCCTAGCACTCAGGAGGCAGGGGCAAGGCAGGTCAATCTACAAAGTGAGATCCTGTAACTAAACAAAAGATTATAGACAAAGATAACATCAAATTGCTCTAACTTTTCTTCATACATAAAGTAATGCTTTTACTGTAATCCCAAACATGGGAGGCAGTGGTCTACATACAACCAGGGCCACAGAATAGGAGCCTGTCTCAAAGAACATGCACACAAACAAATGCTTTTAGAGAAAGCCTTCCTACCCCATTGCTAATTAATACAGAGGCCTTACCAGTTAGAAACACAGCAACCACTGTATGCTTAGATATTAAAACGTTTAGAGGAAATACCGACATAAGGCTTATAAAAAGAAAATGATAACAAAATCTGGTCACATCTAGAGATAGGAAAGAAAAATGTGAAGTTTTGCAGAACTTTTAGTTCACAATAACCCAATACTATGGGTGACCCTAGAGTACTGGATTATGTTATAATAACAGAGTCCTCACAGGTAGAGTAAGGTAGTGTCTGTTGTTCTGACACACTAGTCAGCAACTCCAAGTTGCTAGATTACTACTAAGATGTGCAGGTGGGAATAAACACTATAAAGCATACGTAGATAGCTTCCTATTTTATTTCTCCAGGGACAGTTTTCAGAGTTGAGTATAAGTTAAAGGCCTGCTTGGACACCAAAGCCAGGTCCTTTGGGTGGTTCAGTCAGAGAGGTGAGGCCTCCAGCTGGCTCACAGCAGAACCGCCCACTCCTGAAAACAAAAAGGAAGCAATGATTATTAGTGATTAGCATTTACAAACTGTTTTTTAAAAAAATATTTCAGTCAGGTATGGTTTTATACACCTTTAATCCCAGCACTCTGAGGCAGAAGCAGGCAGAGCTCTGGGTTCAAGGCTAACCTGGTGTACATAACCAGTTTCAGGTCAGCCAGGACAATATAGTGAGGCCCTGTCTCAAATAATAAAAGGGACTTTTCAGCTTTATTGTAATTTTATGGTCTGTGGTCTGTTGCTGATTAAATGTCATTATGTGGCATATGACTGTATTATAATTAGTTTGACAGACTAAACTATGTCATATAAGGAGAACCAATTAAAGATCCTGTGGTATTCAATATGACAAAAAAGATAGTAAGAATAGAAAATAGCTATTTCAAGCAAAGTATAACAATTATTTTTTGGAAGAGATATTTAAATGAATTTTCACTAAGGGAAAAACAATAATAAAGATTATTTTGTATTGGGGTCGGTGACATGGTGGGCAGCCCAAGTTCAAAACTCGGAACTCTTGTCTAAGCATAAGGAGAGGACCAACTCCACAAGGTTGTCCTTGACCTCCACAGATACACTACACATGAACATGATCACTTTTAAAGATATTTTAAAATATCCTGTATAGACTAAAAGGGAAAATGGATCTTTAGGTGGAAATAAGAGGGAGGGAAGCTAACTTCAGATCAACCTTCTAGCAAAATGAACTTTTAAATTCTATTTGCAGGAAGAGTCTCTTCCAGTAAAAATGTTCTAGGAGGTCAGATAATTTTACAAGATTTTTTTCCATACATGCATGTGTATGAAATGTATGTTTGCACATGTATGTACACCTGGGGGCCCAAGGTCAATGTCAGGTGTCTATCTCTATCACACTCTGCCTTACATATGGAGCCAATGTCTCCTGCTCAACTGTCAGCCTGTGCTGTAGCCAGACTGGCTAACTGCCCTGCTCAGGGGTCCCAGCTCCTCTCCCAACCCTGGGACTATAGCACAGCCACCGTGCCCACTCAGCTCCCACATGTGTTCTGCAATTCTAACACACATCCTTACCAACACTGAATCATCTCCCCAGCCTATCTCACAGATTTGCTGTGCGCGTGCGTGCGTGCGTGTGTGCATGCGTGTGTGCGTGTGTGTGTGTGTTTTGAGACAGGGTCTCTCTGTGTAGCTCTGGAGACCAGGCTGGCCTTGAACCACAGAGTGTAAGTTAAAGGCCTGCTTGGACCTGCCTGCCTCTGCCTTCCAAGTGCTGGGATTAAAGTCGTGCTCAACCACCATCCAGGTATCCTATAGATTTTGAAGAAAAAATGTGTCTTGCTCGGATGACAGCTTTTGGTATGCAAATTTCCAGTCTAGTCTACTCCTGTGTACATGAGGAAAGATTCTTAAAATTAAGCTTATGATTACTTCAGTGCAAGTTACTCCAGCAGTTTATTATATAGAAATAAGGGCATACCTTGGCCCAGGTTTTGGAACTTTCCCAGCTTTGAGTTCATCAATAATGTCTTCAATATCGTTGGGTGTTAGATCCTCCTAGAGAAAGAAATAAAGCCACTGATGAATTACTGTATAAAAGAATCTGTAAACCCTTAAAATTAATTCGTTTATTTATCAAGACAGTTCCTACTGAGTAACTCCAATACATAAGGAATACACATGAAAAGCTTTAGCTCAGAATCTGAGGTCTGGTCTCATCGCTCACCACCATCTCTGCCTCTCTCAAGCTCCTTCCTTCACTGATAACTCAATTTGAATTTGTTCTTGAGGATGACAAAGTGCTGGCTTGAATAAGAACAGCACCCCAACCCCTTCTATTTGAATGCTTAGTAACCAGGGAATGGTACTTTTTGAAAGGGTTGGGGGTGTGGCCTTGCTGAAGGAAGTGTGTCACTGGGGGTGGGCTTTGCAGTTTCAAGAGCTCACCCTAAGCCCAGTGCCTGTCTCTCTATCCCTGCCTGTCAATCAGGATGTAGCTCTCAAATGCTCCAGCACCCATGCTTCCTGTCATGATGTTAATGGACTAAACCTCTGAAACCATAAGCTAGCTGCCCTAATTAAATGCTTTCCTTTCTGATAGGCGTTGCCTTGTTCATAGTGTCTCTTCACAGCAATAAGACAATTAAAACAACAACAAAAAACAAAACAAAAAAGCAGAAAAGTGCCAAAGTACAAGAAAACAATGCTAATTCTGGGAGAAACATAGTACAAAAAATAATTATCACCAGTAGTTGTAACCGATAAGCAGAGGCCTGAATCAAAAGCTCTAACTACTAACTGGAAAAAAGCTTCAAAGAAAGTTCTGTCTAACACAGGGGTGGGCCTAGGCTCTGTCCCAAAGGATACGATACTCTGATGACACCCCATGGAAGGCCTCACCCTCCAGGGGGAGCAGAAAGGATATGTGATAGGTAGGGTTGTAGTTGTGGGAGAGGAGGAGGGGAGGGAGAAGGGAACTGTCATGTAAAACAGTCTCGTTTCTAATTCAAATAAAATCTGAAAAAAAAAAGAAAGTTCTGTCTAATTCCTATTTGAGGAATACATAACAGAGGCCAAACTCAACAAAAAAATCTGCAAGAAAACAACAAACTTGTCTCCAAGTTTTCAATAACCACAAGGACAACAGACAGGGCCCCAGACAAGCACAAAAGAGTCTTCCTAACAACAAACCTAACCACACCAAGTTAGCATTCAAAGAAGCCTGCACATCTGATGTAAGGGTTAGCTAAAAAGGGCACTGCCCAGCAAAGGAAATTTCTAGTCTGGAAACTTTGGAACTGCAGAATGGGCAAAGTAAATGGTACAAAGAGATTCCTTTGGAGGCACCATTAGCATCTCTGGAAGCAGGAGAGAAGATAAATCCATTATTAAAAATGCTATCTTCAACAAACACCTCAAGGAATCTCTATTAGCTAATTTCTAAGAAATAAGCTGGATGGTGGTGGCATAGGTCTTTAAACCCAGAACTCAGGAGGCAGAGGCAGTCCTCTGAGTCAAGGACAGCCTGATCTACACAGAGATGCAGAACAGCCAGGGCTACACAGAGAAACCCTGTCTGGAAAAACAAGAAAACAAACAAACAAACAAACAAAAAACCCTAACAAAATACCATAATTGCAAACCATGATATAATTGGGGCAGCAAGTAATTTCAAAATGCTAACTACAAAACCATACATATTTGGATATTAAGATCACCTCCAGAAAAACTTACAGGTCAAAGGTAAATAATCACAAAATCTGTAAGGTATAAAATAGTAGAGGGGGGCTGGAGAGATGGCTCAGTGGTTAGAGCACGGACTGCTCTTCCAGAAGACCCAAGTTCTATTTCCAGAACCCACACAGTAGCTCACAGCTGCCTGAACTCTAGTTCCAGGGGACCTGACATCCATGGCAAAACACCAATGCACATAAAATTAAAAAAAAAAAAATTACAGTAATAGAGGTATGTTATACATTTCATTTATTTAAAAATCTTGAGAAATATGACGTATTACTACAGGTTATACAGAAAAAAGCTTTAAAACATCTATAAGAAGAATTCAACACTAAATTATGATAGTATCTGGAGAGAAAAAGGTTTGAGGTGCTTTAATTTTTTTCTGCAAATAATATCAATAGACAATATTACCTAAGTAAATGGTCCTAAAGTGCTGCTATTGCATCTTGGTTTCTAGTATATGTAAATGATTAAATTCATCACAATTTAAAACTCTCAAGTTTATCATATCCTGGACAAAAATACAAAATATTTAAAGGTAATTCTTTTAAAACCTTGTAGATACTTATACAGTTTCTTCTAAATGAGTACCTCAAGAACCGACCCTGTGGACATGAAGAGTTTAGATAGGCCGCTACAGAACATGACCGTAGTGTAGCTGAAAACTCACATAGTAGTTGTCATTGATTTGAACCATAGGGGCATTTACACAGGCCCCCAGGCATTCCACTTCTGTAAGAGTGAAGAGCTTGTCAGCTGTAGTCTCTCCAACCTTTATTCCTAAAAATGTAAATGATCACTATGAGAAATAGATCATAGCTTAAAAGCAATATGGTTTAAGAAAAATGACATCAATAATCTGTTACAGAGGATGTAAAAATATCGACATGCACTAGACGTCTGTAAAGTGAGCCAGCCATGGCAGTGCACACACACGCGTAAACCAGCCATGACAGTGCACACACACGCGTAAATCAGCCATGACAGTGCACACACACGCACAAATCAGGTATGACAGTGCACACACACGCGTAAATCAGCCATGACAGTGCACACACACGCACAAATCAGGTATGACAGTGCACACACATGCGCAAATCAGGTATGACAGTGCACACACACGCGTAAATCAGCCATGACAGTGCACACACACGCACAAATCAGGTATGACAGTGCACACACATGCGCAAATCAGGTATGACAGTGCACACACACGCGTAAATCAGCCATGACAGTGCACACACACGCACAAATCAGGTATGACAGTGCACACACATGCGCAAATCAGGTATGACAGTGCACACACACGCGTAAATCAGCCATGACAGTGCACACACACCCATGAATCAGGTATGACAGTGCAGACACGCGTAAATCAGCCATGACAGTGCACACACACACACTCGTAAATCAGCAATTGCAGAGAGACAGACCTCAAGTTCAAGGCCACCACGCCTAGCTTTCTTAAGTAGGCCTGTTCCTTTAAGAGCAATGAAAGCCTGGAGACCACTGCTCACTGACCTACTTCACCACCACCCAGCTGCTTGTCTGGCACAGAGCTGACCTCATGCCGACTGCCAACAGCATGGCTCCTTCTCTTTTCTCTCTTTCTCCTACAAGCAGCTGAAGATATTTACAGCTCCCCTGCTTTGGGGTTTTTTTTTTTAAACTAGTAAAATTGTCCTCAAGCTTCAAAGAAGCCAGTAAACAGGAGTGAACAAACTGCTGAGTAGTTAGAGCGCAGCCTCCCTTGCAGGGGACCTGGGTTCAGTTCCCAGCACCCACACGTGCTCACAGTGTGTAACTCCAGTCGCAAGCCATCTGGCCACTGTGGGCACTACACAAACAGAAAAATACATAGTTATCTAAAAAGTAAATAACTGGACTGCTAATAACACAGCTATACCATTAGACTGGCAAAGATTGAGAAAACCGAGGACCGAAGACTAAGGAGGTAAGGAAAATGAGTGCTGATACACTCGAGGGGAAATACGGCAATCAATCTTAATGCTGAACATGCAAAGGGGTGTTCATACGACACCACTCGAGTAACTGTGTAAGAGCAGAATGATGCCAGCACTGGGTGCTACACAAAAGTCCACAATTACAGCACAAGCAGAGCACAGGCAATGTGCTAAATGATACAGGATACAAAATCTGCTATCACTAATCTACTGAGCAGTTATCAGAGCCTAAGCCTTAGAGGTGGGTTTTAGGGGTCAGCTTGATCTTCCTGCCTTACATCAACATTCCCCAAATGTGTCTGTGGCACACAAGGACTTCTACTAAAGAGAGAAAAAGCCACAACTGGCAAAGACCAGCTCCTTGAGAAACTGAGGTCAGAGGACTACTGGCAAGAATAGCTCGGTCAACTCAGGAAGATCCTATCTCAAAATAAGTAAATAGAAGAAAAAATGGGGGTGCTGAAGGTACAAGTCAGTGTCAAAGTACCTCCTCTAGTGTGAAGCCCTGTGTGTCTTCAGGACAGGAAGACACAGTGAAAGATACCACTTTAACTTCACAAAGTTAAAAATGCAACAATGGCACTTTGTATAGAAAATGTCCATTTGTTTTATAAATATGCCATAATTACAGCTATTTAACATTCTCCTTATCGTGAAGTAGTTCTACTATGCTGGTACTTATTCTGCTGCTTCCCCGGAAGCATGGACATCTGAGATTATAATTTTGTGTTTGTGAGTGTGTGTGTATGTGTGTGTGAGTGTGCGAGTGTGTGTGCGTGTAGGAACTGAACTCTGGCCCTGCGAAAGAGCAGCACGTGCTCTCATCCTACACCATCTCTGCAGCCCATGTATTGTCTTTGTGTTTTGTGACATATGATAACATATGAATGAGACAATTTTCCTAGAAGTTTTACAAACATTCTTAATGATTAGCATAGATTAAAAGCTTAGACTTGAAGCTGAGAATCAGAAGAACACAAACTAGAAAGAATTAAAAGTAAGTAGTATTTTTTTAAGTACCAAGAAAGTACAAACCAAGTAAAAAACACCGAAGTCGAAATTTTATGTGGAAAATGTCAGCTCCAAAAAGAATTATATTTGGGTGGCCGGGAGTATAGAGAGAAGAAGCTGTTGAGCTAGGTTCTTAACGTGTAGCCCAGGCTGACCCAGAGCTCACCATATAGACCCAGGCTGCCTCAGCATCCTGAGTATGTACCACCATAGGCTGTTAGCCAATCTTGGTGTTTTTTTTGGGGAGACAACAGGGGTGGGGGGTGGGGGTGGGGAAGGTGTTTCAAGACAGGGTCTTTCTATGTAGCCCTGGCTGTCCTGGAACTCACTCTGTAGATCCGCCTGCCTCTGCCTCCCAAGTGCTAGGGGTTAAGTGCCTCACCACACCCTGGCTGATCTTGGTCTTGTTAACAAGAGAAATGAAGTTCCCATACCAAGCTTTCTCTGAAGGGTCTCCAGGATGCTGTCAGAGTCACGCAGCATACATGGTGTGGTGGTGCAGACCTGAATGTGGTACTTGCCAACTGGCTTTCGGTTATACATCGTATAAAAGGTTGCTACTTCATATACTCTCATTGGAGGTACTTGCAAAACTTCTGCCACCTAAAATATTAAAACATTAAAGATGATTACAGTGTTTCCTACCTGAAGTGTAATGTGCCAACTCTGAATAGCACACTACGTTCTAAGTGCTCTTACACTGTCGCTTGTTTTCTCTTTCTCTGCAGGCTTACTATCAAGACTCAGAAGAAACTTCTCATTAGTAAAAACATTTTTCAAACAGAGATGCTATGGGCTGGCAAGATGGCTGAGCAGGTAAAAGGCCTTGCTTGCCACAGAAGCCTAATGACCTGTGTTTGATCCCTGGACCTCACATAAGACTGAATCGGGACTGAGCACACACAGAACCAACTCTGTGTTTGTCTCTACCCCTCTCCTCTGAGCTCCACACAGGCTGTGCATGCATGTGTCCACACATACATCACACACAAGCTTAATTTAAAAAAAAAAATACATACACACACACACACACACACACATTTTTTCCCCCTTTGGTTTCTCCGTACTGCCCTGGCTGTCCTGGAATTTGCTATGGAGACTAGGTTGGCTTTAAACTCAGAGATCCTCTTGCCTCTGCCTCCTGAATGCTGGGACTAAGGGCATGAGCCATGACGTCGGGGCTTTAAATATTACAAAGAGTTTAAACACTAAGGTATAATTTGACAAGCACTATATCTATCACACTGTTTTTGTTTCTTCTTCCTTTCTTGGTGCTTTGGAGTCGATAGATAGGCCACTGCTCTTCCACTTAACTACAGCTCTATCTCACATCAGGGTTTCTGAAAAAATTAACCAGCTGTGTTTACTAAGGATAAGATAGTGTTTAGTTAAACAAAGCTTTGTAACATACTTCAGTATTAGGGAAGTATACAAAGCAAATAGAACAACCAACACAATCTAAAATTTGCATTTGTGGTTATTAGATAAAGTCTATTTGTATTCTCTCAATAAGAATGATAGCCTTTTTTGTCGTTTATTCCCTTTTGTAATTCTACCTTAACAGTTAAACCAAATAAAGTTTAGACAATGATGAGAGTGAGTGAACTACCATAGAACATCTGACAGATGGTCAAGTAGAAAGCACAATGAGTTGTTTTTAATACAGCACTTTGTAAATGAAATGCTGTATTGGCACATGAATGTAATCACCGTATTAACAGGATATAAGTAAACTTGAAAACCAGATTATTGCTAAAACTACTTGAAAACAATCTTCACATCTTCAATCTTAGTGCTTGGTAGTTGAGGTAGAGGATTGGTAAAAGTTTAAGACTGGTCTGGGCTAAACCAGGCAGAGGTAGCTTATGCCTTTAATCCCAGCACTGGGGAGGCGGATCTCGGTGAGTTCCAGGACAACAAGAAAGACTAGCCTGGGCTAAGTGTGTCAGGCAGACCCTGTCTCGGAAGAAGAGAGGCTGAATTCTACAGTGTTTGTAGTAGGCTGAAGTGATGGGTGGGCAGTTCTGAAGGTAACCAAATACAGACTTTTGTAAAGGACTAGAACCAAAAACATAAAAATATTAAGACAGTGCATTTGGTAAGGGATATCCCCCACCCCACCCCCGTAATTTTACAGTTTAAAAGCTGCATTCATTTTCAAAATACCTTCGTACCAAACTATACACATTTGAGACTTTTTTCATTAAGATCATTTCCCTCAAAAGGTAGGTGTTGGGGAGATGACGACACAGACGGGACAGATGGACAGGATAGATGGACACCTCTTTCACATTAATGCCTATTTTCCTGCAAGAATGGGAACTGTATTAAGGGAACTGACAAAAACACACTAAGGAGGTTATATCTGTCCGTCCATCCATCTTTTGAGAGAGACTCAAGGGCTCCAAACTCACCATGATGATTTCTATATGAAGCGGTTATCACATACAGTTTCTCCTTTTTCCTGAGGCAAACCTGAATTCAGTACCTTATTCATAGCGGATATGGGCAGCCATCCATTCTGCCTCTGGGCTAGATCCAGGACTGGAAGCACAGCCGCGGCTTTATGCCCTTCTGGGTAGTTCTTTACTATGGCCTCTATCCTCTGCAAAAGGAAAACGCCTGCTTTACACAAGGGAAAGCACGGAATACTTGATAAATCAACCACATTGTTTATGTAATCATACCTTATAGTTTTCCGGTGTGAAATCAAACGGAGTATCTGGGTTATTCTCAGGAGTATCTCTGTGCTATGCCAAAAAAAAAAAAAGGACAAAATGTTTTCCAAGACTATCAACATTTTCCCTGAAATGTAAATATGTATAACTGTACATTACACTATACTGTTGCTGCTCATTTAATCTCTACTTTAATTCCATCATTCCACCAGTCTATCTTTGTAACAAGAATGACTACAAAACCAATCCTTAAAAAATTAAGACGTTCCAAGATTTAGTTATCCAACTTGACCAGGAATGGGGTATCAAGTACAAACTGGCAGCTTTATGTAATTAAGACACAAAACTGTGCACATGGGCGGAGAGAGATGGCTTAGAGGTTAGAAAGGCTTGCTGCTAATGCAGAGAGCCAGAGTTTAATTCCCAGCAGCCACACTCCTAACTCCAGTCCCAGAGCATTCAGTGGTCCTTTCTGGTATCTAAGGGCACCTGCCTACACCCTATGAACATATATATACATGTAGACATATTCATCAATAAAAATTTTTAAATAAAAATGCTAAATGTCAGTCCCAGACACAAAATTATGCAAAGCGTAGGAACTGGTTACCTGACATATCTGAAACGATATATCTCTACTCTTTTTTTTTGGAGGGGGGATAGTCAAGACTGGGTTTCTCTGGGTAGCCTTGGCTGTCCTGGAACTTACTTTGTAGACCAGGTTGACCCAACTCACAGAGATCCGCCTGCCTCTGCCTCCAGAGTGCTGGTTTTAAAGGTGTAAGCCACCACTGCCCAGTATCTCTACTCTTTTTAAAGAGGTACAAAAGTACATCTTTCCCTAACAAGTTTTCCACAAAGGGTTTGAAACATCAAGTTACTATCTAGATAGAAAAAGGCTTGTCAAGAATTCCATGATTTAGGAAACTAAGGCAGGAGGATTGCCAAGAGTTCAAAGCCATGCTGGGCTGTGGTGGTGGTGCACACCTTTAATCCCAGCATTCAGGGAGACAGAGGATCTCTTTGAGTTGAGGCCAGCAGGGTCTATACAGTGGGTTCCAGGACAGCCAAAGCTACACAGAGAAACCTTACCTAGAAAAATCAAGGAAAAAGAAATTAAAAAGGTTCAAAACTAACCTGGGTTAGAGAGTGAAACCCTGTAAAAAATATGGAAAAAAAAAAAAGCAGAGTAAAAGTACCTTTAATCCCAACAATCTGAGTCTCAAAAAAATTTAAAAAGCACACTAATATAAACAGAACCTTGATATTCTCTGAGTTTTGCTTTTAAAAAAGGTGTTTGTAGACATTTAGTTCCAAGTAAACACACAGAGGCTTATATTAATTATAAACTGTTTGGTCAATAGCTCAGGCTTCTTACTGTCTAGCTCTCTCTTAATTATTAACCCATGTCTATTAATCTTGTATCTCTTTGTGTGGTCTTGTGGTGCCCTGGCTTCTTGCCACCTTGGCAGCTATATGGTGTCTCCCTGACTCCATCTACCACCTTTCTCTATCCCTGTTTGGATTTCCTGTTTGTTCATTGGCCAAAACATCTTTATTCATCAACTAATAAGAAAAACATATATTCACAGCATACAGAAGGACATTCCCCACCAAGTGTTAATCAAAAGAGGAAAGAAAATTGAAGTGTTGAACAATAATTTCAAATATGTGGACAACTTAATGTTTTTACTAAGTCTAAACCATGGTGCATGTTTACTACATTGATATCAAACACTAGAAACTGCTCATATCAGATAAACAGACACAACATTTAAAGCTTTCAGACTTGTACAACAAAATTGAGGTGTTTATAGGTATCTCCTAGATTTAAAACTGTGAAGCCAAAAATATGGTGGCGCACGCCTTTAATCCCAGCACTCGGGAGGCAGAGGCAGGCGGATCTCTGTGTTCGAGACCAGCCTGGTCTACAAGAGCTAGTTCCAGGACAGCCTCCAAAGCCACAGAGAAACCCTGTCTCAAAAAACCAAAAAAAAAAAAAAAAAAACCAAAAAAAAAAAAGGAGGCCAACCGATTTGTAAAGTAATATATTTATATATTTATTATGTAGTAATGCCCTGACTATATTACTATAAGCTCTTGAGTTTTGAATACCTTTTAGGGATTTCTCAAGTTACAGCCTTACCTTCAGCCAGCCAACATGACTGACTTTTAAGATCATGGAGTCTGATGAACAGATTAGGGTTCACAGTAACTTTACCAAACAATAACCCAAATTCTTATTCCTATAGTCGAACCAAACATCAATTATAATGAATTTAACAAGCTATATTTAAATCCTTACAATGGTCAATATCTCTCAAAGATACAGGTATTAAGGTTTTGTGTTTCTGGGTGAGAGAAATAGCTCAGAGGTTAAAAGTACTTAGTGCTCTTGCCTATGCGTAGTCACACACATCTAATTAAAACAAATACTTAAAGTTTGTGGATTCAACACTACAAATTCTAGGCAAGTATTCTACAGCCAAGTAGTACCACATCCCACAATTTAAGACATTACAGTAGACTCATTCAAATCCCCAAGTCTTTCCATTATGAAGGATTTTGATTACTTACCACAAATAAGGCTCCTCCAGCACCATTTTGCACAGCTGTCTTATGCAAATTCCTTGCATGTCTTCCCTAAAGTTAAAAAATTTGAGAACACTTACTCAAAACTTTAGGAAATTTTCATGAACTACTTAAAGAGTTGTACAGTTTAAAACAAGGGAAGCATCTTAGGAGGCTCTGCACCTGTGCCTTTGCCTGTCTCCTTCAGAAGGCTCAGGAAGTGGCTGCATAAAGGCACACAATTAATCCACTAGTGGGTAAACTGACCGAACTCAAACTAGAACTGTACACAGGTGTCATGCTCACACTCTGCTCACACTAGGCTGGCATGCAATACCAATTAACTGGCCCTGTTTCCCCTTGTCTGAATCGGTGAGATGATAAAGTCCTGGAACTCACTCTGTAGCCCAGGCTGACCTTACAGAGATCTACCTGCCCTGCCTCCCAAGTGGGGATGAAAGGTTTGTGCTATCACAGCTGGCCCTAACAGTAAATATGGTAATGCACATGGCCACATGAGTCACAGCTATGCACAAATGAGTCACATTACACTGTTGTAAATATTTGCTTGATATGGTCTCCCTATGGACCCCAGGTTGGCGTTCAATTTTTTTCTCTTTGCCTCAGCTTCCCTGGAACTAGATTGAGTGTACTTCTGCAACTCCAGCCGTGCCCCTTACTGGGACAATTGAGGCAATCCTGGCCCGCCTCTCACCCACCTGAGCTGAGCAGGTGTAAGCACCCTGGCTCTTTGAAAGAAAGAGCCCCGCCCCTTCCCCTCTCTGTCCTGCTGGGGCAGTCAGGACTTTTCCTGTCTCCCTCTCCTTCTCTTCTGTCCTCTCTCTGTCTCTCACCTCTGTTCTCTTCCCTCCCCTCTCCCTCCCCTTTCTAATAAAGCTTCTCACTTAGGCTCCGTCTGCCTGGTGTGTTTGTCCCTCGCCATGGAGTCTCCCAAGGCCCCCACGAGCTTTATTATAACACTCACTGCTTCTAATGCTGTGCAGACGTAAACGGTGCGCTGCTCAGGCGAGAAATCTGACGGTTCCATTTTGTTCTCTTGTTCCTCTCCTGTACTGCCATCCCCCACCATAAACAATTACACTATTATTCTAGATCCTACAATTTCTGAATTCTGTGAAGCACAAAGGGCGGGACCCTGAATTAATCCAAGCACAGGACTGGCTGGCTACCAGAGAGGACTAAGCTGAGTGACATGAAGGAACAGACTTCACTCTGTCATAGATCAAAGTAGAAAGCTGCAGAAAGAAAGAAATTCCACAGCACATCTTGCTTTAATTAGGAAAAAACCTAGTTCCTGACTGTGGAGCACGGGTATAACATACAGTTAAGTACATTAGAGTACAGAGGACTTTGCTTCAACTGTGTTCTCCAGTACCACCACCACCCCCTTAGGCAGAAGGTGGGTAAAAGGTGTTACTTTATGCTTTTCTCTTGCTTTAAATATAGAATTTTTAAAAAGAATGCAACACAGTCAAGGCTGTGTAAAAAGAAACTAAGCCAGGTGGTGGGTTCAAGGCCAGCATGTTTTGCAAAGTGAGTTACAGGACAGTCAAGAGTGCCAGAGAAACCCTGTCTCAAAACAAACAAACAAAAAATTGCCCCCCCCAACACAAAAATGAAACTGAAGTAAAAACAGTCAGTGCAGTCGCTCTAGCTGAGAACACAGTAAAATACAAAAAAGTTTGAAACAATGACTTAAGTAAATGCTAAAAAAAAAAAAAAAAAGTTACTGTATAGTAACATAAGAAATGGCTAATTTAAAGTGGGTTAAAGTACCTAACCTCTCTTCACGGTCTGGGCCTTCACAGACTCCTCTCACTATACTACTTGAAGGGTTTTATCTCTGGGGCTCAGTCCTGACTCCTCTATTTGGTCTTCATGCATCTTTCCTTCTGGCATCACCTACTGCCTATGCTGACAACTAAATATTAAGTCTTACACACGTCTAGTGACAAAACACCCAGAAAAATTATAAATGCATAAAGTCAATAAGGAAAATTAATAAAGATCATGAACATTTAAAAAACTTACTAGCTATTAAAAGCATGCCACTTAAAACATCACGAGCTTAAATTAGGGAAAGGTTTTGGTTTGAGTTTTTTTTTTTTTTTTTTTTTAAAGATAACATTCCATTTTGTTGAGAGCATGGGAAAAATGGGCTTGCTAATGCATGAGGCAAACACTCATACAAGCCTTTTAGGGACGCAAACTAGTATGATTTATGGAAAACCTCAAAGAATTTACATCTTTTAACACAGTAATACTTCTGGGCATTTACTTTTAAAGAACATTACTGTAGCCAGGGGCGATAGTGCCCTTCGATAGTGCCCTGCCTATAATCCAAGCACTGGGAAGGTTGATAGGAGGACGCTATGGATCTAGGCCTATATATGAAGATCTGTGTGTGTGTGTGTGTGAGAGAGAGAGAGAGAGAGACTTTACAGGGAGCTGTGAGCAGCCCAATGTGTCCTGGGATGAAAACGTGAGTGTGTGTGTGTGTGTGTGTGTGTGTGTGAGAGAGAGAGAGAGAGAGACTTTACAGGGAGCTGTGAGCAGCCCAATGTGTCCTGGGATGAAAACACTGTCCTCAGAGCACTAGGGCTCTTAACTGCTGAGCCATCTCTCAACCTCATTTTATTTTATTATGTAAATTTCGCGTGTACAGGCGCTCTGCCTGTGTCTGTGCGCCATGTACAAGACCGGTGCCTGTGGAAGACAAGAGCGAGCACTGGATCCTTTGGAACCGAGTCACAGATGGCTGTGAGACACCATGTAGGGGCTGGGAATGTCCTTTAACCCTGAGCTACCTCTCCAGCCCCTCACTTAATATTTTTACAGCTTAGTTGGGCTTTTGTTTGTTTTGAGACAGCATCTCTCTACATATCCCTGGCTGTCCTGGAACTCACTATGTAGACCAGGTTGACCTTGAACTCAGAGACCTGCCTGCCTCCCTGTCTCCTGAGTGCTGGGATTAAAAGCATGATATATCTCTCCTATCTCTTTATTGGGTTGTTTTAAACTGGTGTGACTTGGGAAGAACTAATATTTGTTTAAGCATTGTCATCTACTTAGCAGACACAATAACTGAAAGGCAGATTTAAGGTAAATTTTTAAAGCATGACAGATAATTGTCTCTTGTTTATAACTGTAACAAAGAGCCATTGTCAAAAGAGAACAGATTTGTGTTTCTTGCATTTGCAAGTAACAGTTTTTATATTTTAATTAGGCTTAGAATTTTTCTGATAAAATTATAGTTTATATAGCTGAAAACCATCTACTTCCCTCTGCTGAAGTTAATATATAAATTTCCCTTTTACTTAAAGGAAGTGGGAAGGGGCAGGAGTAGTACCGGTGTTCCCATGAGTGACTTTAGGTCCCTAAGTTATTCATGCTAATAATGGATTAGCACTTATGAGCTTATCCGACACGCCAGGCCATGAATAACCCTTTCATTCAAGACACACAGAAAGGACAGCACAATTCAAGGACCCAGAAAGACTAGGTAACAAGGAGGGTTCATGGGGGGCAGCACCCAGATCTCTCTGGGAAGGGGAAATAGAGATTCTGTGAGTGGACCAAGGGCAGGTGGGGACAGGAACATGAGCCAGCAGGTTGGGGGGGGTGCTGAGGGGGACTGCTAGGGGAGAGGGCGGGGGCTTCAGGTCAGGCAGAAGCCTGGAGCAGGGGAATCCCCCAGGAGTCTACAGGGAGGACCCCAGCTTAAACTCTTAGTAATAGTGGATAAGTAGACTGAACTGGCCATATTCTGTGACCAGATTGATGCTGGCCCAATTGTCACCATAGAGGTGTCATTCACCAACTGATGGAGGCAGAGGCAGAGCCCCACAGCCACATGTTAGTGCAGGTCAGGAATCCTGCTGAGGAAGAGGAGTGTAGGAGCCAGAGGGGTCAAGGACACCACAGGAAGGCTCACACAATCAACTAACCTAGGTTCTCACAGGGGCTCACAGGGACTGAAATGACAACTAGGGAGCCTGCCTGGGACTGACCTAGGCCCTCTGCATATATGATACAGTTGTGTAGCTTGGTCCTCTTGTGGGACGCCTAACAGTGGGAACAGAGACTGTCTCCAACTCTTTTACTGCCTTTTGGGACTCTACTCCTCATACTGGGCCACCTTGCCCAGCCTTACTACATGGGGAGTTGCTTAGTCTTACTGCAACTTGATATGCCATGTTTATTGATAGCCCTGGATGGAGACAGATGAGGAGGGGATGGAGGGATGGGGAAGGGACTGGGAGGGAAGAGGGGGAGGCTGCATCTGGGATGTAAAATGGAGGAGGAGAAGAAGGAAGAGGAAGAAGGAGGAGGAGGAGGAGGAGGAGAAGGAAGAAGGAAGAAGGAAGAAGGAAGAAGAAGAGGAGGAAGAGGAAGAAGGAAGAAGAGGAGAAGGAGGAAGAGGAGGAGGAGGAGGAGGAAGAGGAGGAGGAGGGCGTGAGCACAGTGGAGGAGGCTCTCACTGCACACAAGCCCCTACTTGGTGCACTAATCCCAGCGCTCACTGCTCTGCTGGAGACTCACTCTAGTGCAGCCCTTCCACTGGGGTGTCTCAGACAGATGCAGCCAATGCTTTGGCACTGCAGCACATCAGATGCTGTCATCTAGAGTTCACTCAAGAACCATCGGATCAAATGACAGGGGTGAGCAGCACAAAACCTCCTATTTTAAGTGAGTTTATCATTCTGGGGTAGGTCAGTCTCTCGGCTGCCCAAGCTGGCAGGTAAGATAGCCACACCTCTGTCCAACTCCTCTGCAGCTCCAGAAGGTTTAGCTCCGGGCTTCATCACTCGGGGGCTCTTTATACTTGCACTGACTTTCTCTTTAGGCTCTGTGCATGGATTCTTTGCAATACCTTTTAAAATCCTTAGCTTCTTTACTTACAAATAATTGTGTGAGGGCTGACTTGAGTGTTAAACATATTAACACCTGCTAACTTGTTACTGACACCCTCATGGCTGCTAGTGTAACTGTCCTGGCAGGAGAGATGATTTCTTAGGAACACATATGCTGCGCTCTCCCTTTGCTATCAG